CCCCTTTCCCCCCCCAAAAAACCACCTCTTTCCCACCCTCTCCCCCTTTCCCCCCTCTCCCCCTTCCCCCCCCCTCCCCCCTTTTTCCCCCCTCTAAACCCCCTCCCCTTTTCTCCACCCCCTTTCGCCACCTCATAACCCCCTTCCCCCTCCCCTCCCCCTCCCCCGCCTCATAAACCCCCTTTTTCCCCCCCTATAAAACCCCCTTTTCCCCCCCTAAACCCCCTTCTCTCCCCTCAAACCACCTCTCTCTCCACCTCAAACCCCCTCTTTTCCCCCCCCATAACACCTTCTCTCCCCCAAAAACCCCCTCCTCCGCCTCAAACCACCCCTCTCCCCCCCCTTCCAAAACCCCCTTTTTTCCCCCTCATAACCCCTCTTCCCCCTCATACCACCTCTCTCTCCACCTCATACCACCTCTCTCTCTCTTCTCCGCCTCATAACCACCTCAACCACCTCTCTCTCTGCACCTCATAACCACCTCTCTCTCCGCCTCATAACCACCTCATAACCACCTCATAACCACCTCATAACCACCTCTCTCTCTCCACCTCATAACCACAACCCATAACCACCTCTCTCTCCACGCCCATAACCACCTCTCTCTCCCACCTCAGAACCACCTCCGCCCCCACCTCAAACCCCTCTCTCCACCTCATAACCACCTCTCTCTCCACCTCATAACCACCTCTCTCTCTCCACCTCATAACCACCTCTCTCTCCACCTCATAACCACCTCTCTCTCCGCCTCATAACCACCTCTCTCTCTCCACCTCATAACCACCTCTCTCTCCACCTCATAACCACCTCTCTCTCTCCACCTCATAACCACCTCATAACCACCTCTCTCTCTCCACCTCATAACCACCTCTCTCTCTCCACCTCATAACCACCTCTCTCTCCACCTCATAACCACTTCTCTCTCCGCAGCCGAAAAAGCAGAGGCTCGCTTTGCCTCTCAGAACAGAAGGAATGTGAGGAAAATCCGTGACGTCTAGAGAAGTACATCGAATGCCTTAAGATCAAACCTGACGACACTAACCCTAACCTGACGAGTGCTTCTGCTTTACCAACAAGTAAACACTAACTCTAACCCTTCTAGCATACTAACCTTAACACTAACCTGACGAGTGTTTCTGCTTTACCAACAGGTGATCCCCTTACCCTGACCTTAACCCTTACCTTGACCCTGACCTTAACCCTTACCTTGACCCTGACCTTAACCCTTACCTTGACCCTGACCTTAACCCTTACCTTGACCCTGACCTTAACCCTGACCTTGACCACTGACCCTGACCTTAACCCTTACCTTGACCCTGACCTTAACCCTTACCCTGACCTTAACCCTTACCTTGACCCTGACCTTAACCCTTACCTTGACCCTGACCTTAACCCTTACCTTGACTCTGACCTTAACCCTTACCTTGACCCTGACCTTAACCCTTACCTTGACCCTGACCTTAACCCTTACCTTGACCCTAGACCTTAACCCTTACTTGACCTGACCTTAACCTACCTGACCCTGACCTAACCCTACTGACCCTGACCTTAACCCTACCTGACCCTGACCTTAACCCTTACCTTGACCCTGACTTGACCCTTGACCCTGACCTTACCCACCTTGACCCTGACCTACCCTTACCTTACCCTGACCTTAACCCTTACCTTGACCCGACCTTAACCCTTACCTTGACCCTGACCTTAACCCTTACCTTGACTCTGACCTTAACCCTTACCTTGACCCTGACCTTAACCCTTACCTTGACCCTGACCTTAACCCTTACCTTGACCCTGACCTTAACCCTTACCTTGACCCTGACCTTAACCCTTACCTTGACCCTGACCTTAACCCTTACCTTGACCCTGACCTTAACCCTTACCTTGACCCTAACCTTAAAAATCAAACCTAAGTTAATACTTCCAGTAATGGTAGTACGAGCTTAGAGACTAGATTAGCAGACGCTCTTATTCAGAGCGACTTAGTTAGTGCATTCATCTTCAGATAGCTAGGTGGGACAACCACATACAGTGGGGAGAACAAGTATTTGATACACTGCCGATTTTGCAGGTTTTCCTACTTACAAAGCATGTAGAGGTCTGTAATTTTTATCATAGGTACACTTCAACTGTGAGAGACGGAATCTAAAACAAAAATCCAGAAAATCACATTGTATGATTTTTAAGTAATTCATTTGCATTTTATTGCATGACATAAGTATTTGATCACCTACCAACCAGTAAGAATTCCGTCTCTCACAGACCTGTTAGTTTTTCTTTAAGAAGCCCTCCTGTTCTCCACTCATTACCTGTATTAACTGCACCTGTTTGAACTTGTTACCTGTATAAAAGACACCTGTCCACACACTCAATCAAACAGACTCCAACCTCTCCACAATGGCCAAGACCAGAGAGCTGTGTAAGGACATCAGGGATAAAATTGTAGACCTGCACAAGGCTGGGATGGGCTACAGGACAATAGGCAAGCAGCTTGGTGAGAAGGCAACAACTGTTGGCGCAATTATTAGAAAATGGAAGAAGTTCAAGATGACGGTCAATCACCCTCGGTCTGGGGCTCCATGCAAGATCTCACCTCGTGGGGCATCAATGATCATGAGGAAGGTGAGGGATCAGCCCAGAACTACACGGCAGGACCTGGTCAATGACCTGAAGAGAGCTGGGACCACAGTCTCAAAGAAAACCATTAGTAACACACTACGCCGTCATGGATTAAAATCCTGCAGCGCACGCAAGGTCCCCCTGCTCAAGCCAGCGCATGTCCAGGCCCGTCTGAAGTTTGCCAATGACCATCTGGATGATCCAGAGGAGGAATGGGAGAAGGTCATGTGGTCTGATGAGACAAAAATAGAGCTTTTTGGTCTAAACTCCACTCGCCGTGTTTAGAGGAAGAAGGATGAGTACAACCCCAAGAACACCACAACAACCTCTCCCTCAACGTGACCAAGACAAAGGAGATGATTGTGGACTACAGGAAAAAAAAGAGGACTGAGCACGCCCCCATTCTCATCGACGGGGCTGTAGTGGAACAGGTTGAGAGCTTCAAGTTCCTTGGTGTCCACATCACCAACGAACTATCATGGTCCAAACACACCAAGACAGTCGTGAAGAGGGCACGACAAAGCCTATTCCCCCTCAGGAGACTGAAAAGATTTGGCATGGGTCCTCAGATCCTCAAAAAATTCTACAGCTGCACCATCGAGAGCATCCTGACTGGTTGCATCACCGCCTGGTATGGCAACTGCTTGGCCTCCGACCGCAAGGCACTACAGAGGGTAGTGCGTACGGCCCAGTACATCACTGGGGCCAAGCTTCCTGCCATCCAGGACCTCTATACCAGGCGGTGTCAGAGGAAGGCCCTTAAAATTGTCAAAGACTCCAGCCACCCTAGTCATAGACTGTTCTCTCTGCTACTGCACGGCAAGCGGTACCGGAGTGCCAAGTCTAGTTCCAAAAGACTTCTCAACAGCTTCTACCCCCAAGCCATAAGACTCCTGAACAGCTAATCATGGCTACCCGGACTATTTGCACTGCCCCCTCCCACCCCATCCTTTTTACGCTGCTGCTACTCTGTTAATTATTTATGCATAGTCACTTTATCTCTGCCCACATGTACATATTACCTCAACTACCTCAACTAGCCGGTGCCCCCGCACATTGACTCTGCAACGGTACCCCCCTGTATATATAGCCTCCCTACTGTCACTTTTTTTTTCTCAACACTTTTTTTAGTTGTTTTATTTTTACTTTTTTTGTTAAAAATAAATGCACTGTTGGTTAAGGGCTGTAAGTAAGCATTTCACTGTAATGTCTGCACCTGTTGTATTCTGCGCATGTGACCAATACAATTTGATTTGATTTGATTTGAAGCATGGAGGTGGAAACATCATTCTTTGGGGATGCTTTTCTGCAAAGGGGACAGGACGACTGCTCCGTATTGAGGGTAGGATGGATGGGGCCATGTATCACGAGATCTTGGCTAACAACCTCCTTCCCTCAGTAAGAGCATTGAAGATGGGTCGTGGCTGGGTCTTCCAGCATGACAACGACCCGAAACACACAGCCAGGGCAACTAAGGAGTGGCTCCGTAAGAAGCATCTCAAGGTCCTGGAGTGGCCTAGCCAGTCTCCAGACCTGAACCCAATAGAACATCTTTGGAGGGAGCTGAAAGTCCGTATTGCCCAGCGACAGCCCCGAAACCTGAAGGATCTGGAGAAGGTCTGTATGGAGGAGTGGGCCAAAATCCCTGCTGCAGTGTGTGCAAACCTGGTCAAGACCTACAGGAAACGTATGATCTCTGTAATTGCAAACAAAGGTTTCTGTACCAAATATTCAGTTCTGCTTTTCTGATGTATCAAATACTTATGTCATGCAATAAAATGCAAATTAATTACTTAAAAAGGATTTTTGTTTTAGATTCCGTCTCTCACAGTTGAAGTGTACCTATGATAAAAATTACAGACCTCTACATGCTTTGTAAGTAGGAAAACCTGCAAAATCGGCAGTGTATCAAATACTTGTTCTCCCCACTGTATCTCAGTCATAGTAAGTACATTTTTCCTCACTAAAGTAGCTCTCAGCAGAGTCGGTGCTAGTAGGGGGGAAAAGTCATGTGCAAGTTCATGAAAGGAATTTTTATATTTTATATGATTGTAACCTGCTCTGATTCTCTTTAGCGCAGCACACATCCACTCAATCATGAACACACACTGAGTGTATAAAACATTAAGAACACCTTCCTAATATTGAGTCATTTACTTTATGTTCCTATTCTTATATTGTATTTTTTATTGTTGTTGCAGGTTCCTTCTCAACAATGCAAGTAAGCATTTCGTTAGACGATATACAGTATACCAACGTACATACAACTAATACAACTTGGGAGATCAGATTGGCATCTCAGGTGAACATGCATTGTGTTATGTGATAGTCTCTTGTGACGTGAGATTTGGTTCTGGGTTCGGACATACGAGATTAGTTATGTGATGTCAGACATGAGACTGAACTCTTTCGTCCACCTCAGGTTTGATGTCAGAGATGCGACTGAACTCTATTCCACCTCAGGTTTGATGTCAGAGATGCGACTGAAGACTGTATAGGAGCCTGATGAAGAGAGAGACTGATGAAGACCTGGCCGTGGCCAAAGGGAAGGCTGTTAAGGCCTCAACTCATCATGAACGAAGGTGAACTATGCTGGATGTTGGGCTCTGGCTGGTTCTGACTCCATCTGCCTTCAAAGAGCATCATTAAAGCATCGTGACGACGACGGCGGAGCGTTGTTCAGTAATTCACGGCAGGCAGCTGCATCCTGGAGACTCTAAAGAGACTTTAGATGCAATGCAGCTTCTTACATTTACATTTGAGTCATTTAGTAGTTAGTGCATTCTTTACCTCGGCATGCTCAGACTCCCTGCAGCAACACACTGTAGAGAAAGGATGCGTCACAAAGGGCGCCCTATTCCCTATGTAGTGCACTACTTTTGACCAGGGCAGAAGTATTTGATTTCTTTCCACTAAACAGCGTTATGACACAGAGAGGCGATTGACAGAAACTCTACAGGAACACACAGGAACTGGGAGAGATGTGGTGTGCGTTATCAAGATTCAAGTTGAACCATATATTTGGAAAGTATAATCTGAACCTCAGAAATAACATCCTTGTACAGTGGCTTGCGAAAGTATTCATCCCCCTTGTCATTTTTCCTATTTTGTTGCCTTACAACCTGGAATTAAAATAGATTTTTGGGGGGTTTGTATCATTTGATTTACACAACATGCCTACCACTTTGAAGATGAAAAAAAATATATATTTTTTAAACAGAAAACTTGAGCGTGCATAACTATTCACTCCCCCAAAGTGAATACATTGTAGAGCCACCTTTTGCAGCAATTACAGCTGCAAGTCTCTTGGGGTATGTCTCTATAAGCTTGGCACATCTAGCCACTGGGATTTTTGGCCATTCTTCAAGGCAAAACTGCTCCAGCTCCTTCAAGTTGGATGGGTTCCGCTGGTGTACAGCGATCTTTAAGTCATACCACAGATTCTCAATTGGATTGAGGTCTGGGCTTTGACTAGGCCATTCCAAGACATGTAAATGTTTCCCCTTAAACCACTCGACTGTTGCTTTAGCAGTATGCTTAGTGTCATTGTCCTGCTGGAAGGTGAACCTCCGTCCCAGTCAATAATTTCCCTGTATTTAGCGCTATCCATCATTCCTTCAATTCTGACCAGTTTCCCAGTCCCTGCTGATGAAAAACATCCCCACAGCATGATGCTGCCACCACCATGCTTCACTGTGGGGATGGTGTTCTCGGGGTGATGAGAGGTGTTGGGTTTGCGCCAGACATAGCGTTTTCCTTGATGGCCAAAAAGCTCAATTTTAGTCTCATTTGACCAGAGTATCTTCTTCCATATGTTTGGGGAGTCTCCCACATGCCTTTTGGCGAACACCAAACGTGTTTGCTTATTTTTTTCTTTAAGCAATGGCTTTTTTTCTGGCTACTCTTCCATTAAGCCCAGCTCTGTGGAGTGTACGGCTTAAAGTGGTCCTATGGACAGATACTAAAATCTCCGCTGTGGAGCTTTGCAGCTCCTTCAGGGTTATTGATATAGAAATAAAAATATATACAGGTTAAAAGTAATGACTAAATGTTCCACCCTTAAATATAGCTGTGAAATGTTCTTGTTTTAAGTATGATTAGTACTTTCTTAGTAGTGACTAATTATTACACTCTGAAACTGTGTGAGATGTGTTAGAATCTACTACCTGGTAATGTGTGAGTGTAGGACCAGTAAAGATTGACATTGTGTTACTATTTAGCAATGTGAGTAAGAGTTAGGCCAGACAACAAAGGACAAGGAGAACTGGCTACAGACAACTGAGAAACCAAGATAAAGAGGCCCCTTCCAGTTTAGGGAGGAGAGAAACCGTTGGGCTTGTTAAGGAGTATGAGACATGGTGCAGGATATTGGGAGGACGGCTAACTGAGGAATGCAGCCTATGTGTGTGTGTACTGATGGCCAGGAGAGCAGTTTTAAAGTGGAAAACTACAGCCCGCCTACGGGGGGGTGGGATTTTCGTATGACGTGTGCGTATAAAAATATTGTACGACCATTTTGTGTTAGAATTCTCAATGAATAAACATCTCTGACTATGCAGACGGGGACTCTGTCCGTTTCTTCATCCAACCTTTTGGGAGACGCACAGAGACATTGAAATAGTTTGTTAAATAATTCTTATAACCGTTATCTTTGGTCTCTTTGTTGCCTCTGATTAATGCCCTCCTTGCCTGGTCTGTGAGTTTTGGTGGGCGGCCTTCTCTTGGCAGGTTTGTTGTGGTGCCATATTCTTTCCATCTTTTAATAATGGATTTAATGGTGCTCCGTGGGATGTTCAAAGTTTCAGATATTTCTTTATAACCCAACCCTGATCTATACTTCTCTACAAATTTGTCCCTGACCTGTTTGGAGAGCTCCTTGGTCTTCATGGTGCCGCTTGCTTGGTGGTGCCCCTTGCTTAGTGGTGTTGCAGACTCTGGGGCCTTTCAGAACAGGTGTATATATACTGAGATCATGTGACACTTAAATAAAGTCCACTTTTCCGTTATTTATTTTTTAGGATTTTTTGAAACAAATAAATTTCATTTCACTTCACCAATTTTGACTATTTTGTGTGTCCATTACATGTAATCCAAATAAAAATCAATTTAAATTACAGGTTGTAATGCAACAAAATAGGAAAAACGCCAAGGGGGATGAATACTTTTGCAAGGCACTGTGTGTGTATATGTATGTATGTATGTATGTATGTATGTATGTATGTATGTATGTATGTATGTATGAATGTATGTATGTATGTATGTATGTATGTAGTCCTGTGTAGCTCAGTTGGTAGAGCATGGCGTTTGCAATGCCAGGGTTGTGGGTTCGATTCCCATGGGGGGCCAGTATGATTCTTTTTAGAAAAAAATGTATGCACTCACTAACTAAGTCGCTCTGGATAAGAGCATCTGCTAAATGACAAAAAATATATATATACACAAAACCGGACAAAAGTTTTAGAACAGTGTGCAAAGCTGTCATAAAGGCAAAGGGTGGCTATTTGAAGAATCTCATTTGGGACAGCTGTATGTCATCCCTGACCCTCACCACTTCCTGCTTCATTTGGGACAGCCGTATGTCATCCCTGACCCTCACCACTTCCTGCTTCATTTGGGACAGCCGTATGTCATCCCTGACCCTCACCACTTCCTGCTTCATTTGGGACAGCCGTATGTCATCCCTGACCCTCACCACTTCCTGCTTCATTTTGGACAGCCGTATGTCATCCCTGACCCTCACCACTTCCTGCTTCATTTTGGACAGCCGTATGTCATCCTGACCCTCACCACTTCCTGCTTCATTTGGGACAGCCGTATGTCATCCCTGACCCTCACCACTTCCTGCTTCATTTGGGACAGCCGTATGTCATCCCTGACCATCACCACTTCCTGCTTCATTTGGGACAGCCGTATGTCATCCCTGACCCTCACCACTTCCTGCTTCATTTGGGACAGCCGTATGTCATCCCTGACCCTCACCACTTCCTGCTTCATTTGGGACAGCCGTATGTCATCCCTGACCCTCACCACTTCCTGCTTCATTTGGGACAGCCGTATGTCATCCCTGACCCTCACCACTTCCTGCTTCATTTGGGACAGCCGTATGTCATCCCTGACCCTCACCACTTCCTGCTTCATTTGGGACAGCCGTATGTCATCCCTGACCCTCACCACTTCCTGCTTCATTTGGGACAGCCGTATGTCATCCCTGACCCTCACCACTTCCTGCTTCATTTGGGACAGCCGTATGTCATCCCTGACCCTCACCACTTCCTGCTTCATTTGGGACAGCCGTATGTCATCCCTGACCCTCACCACTTCCTGCTTCATTTGGGACAGCCGTATGTCATCCCTGACCCTCACCACCCTTCCCTGCTTCATTTGGGACAGCCGTATGTCTCCCTGACCCTCAACCACTTCCTGCTTCATTTGGGACAGCCGTATGTCGTCCCTGACCCTCACCACTTCCTGCTTCATTTGGGACAAGCCGTATGTCGTCCCTGAACCCTCACCACTTCCTGCTTCATTTGGGACAGCCGTAATGTCATCCCTGACCCTCACCACTTCCTCTTCATTGGGACAGCCGTAATGTCATCCCTGACCCTCACCACTTCCTGCTTCATTTGGGACAGCCGTAATGTCGTCCCTGACCCTCACCACTTCCTGCTTCATTTGGGACAAGCCTGTATGTCGCCCTGACCCTCACCCCATCCTTCCTGCTTCATTGGACAAGCCCGTATGTCAGTCCTGACCCTCACCACTTCCTGCTTCATGTTGGGAAGCCGTATGTTATCCAGACCCTCACCACTCTGCTTCATTGGCACAGCGTATGTTCACCTGACCTCACCTCCTGCTTCATTTGGGACCCGTTGTCATCCCGACCTACATCACTCATGGCCGTACTTGCCCAACCATTTGTTTATTGACAGGCTACACTCCCGTCCATGCCAACCAGTTTAGTTTGACAGGATAACACTGCATCGTCATGCCAACCAGTTTAGTTCTTGGACCAGCGTACTCATCGCTTGCCACCATTTAGTCTCTTGACAGCTAACACTCTGCTGCCAACCATTTAGTTTGACCAGTCTTATACACACTCATCTGTCATGCCAACCCAGTGTAGTTTACCAGTAACCTCATCGTCATGCCAACCAGTTTAGTTTGACCAGGCTAACACTCATCGTCTGCCACCAGTTTTAGTTTTGACCAGCTAACACACTCATCGTCATGCCAACCAGTTTAGTTTACGACCAAGTACGCTAACCACTCATCGTCATGCCAACCAGTTTAGTTTGACCAGGCTAACACTCATCGTCATGCCAACCAGTTTAGTTTGACCAGATAACATAGCTAACATTGTCATGCATAACCAGTTTAGTTTGACCAGGCTAACAACTCATCGTCATGCCAACCAGTTTAGTTTGACCAGGCTAACAACTCATCGTCATGCCAACCAGTTTAGTTTGACCAGGCTAACAACTCATCGTCATGCCAACCAGTTTAGTTTGACCAGGCTAACAACTCATCGTCATGCCAACCAGTTTAGTTTGACCAGGCTAACAACTCATCGTCATGCCAACCAGTTTTAGTTTGACCAGGCTAACAACTCATCGTCATGCCAACCAGTTTTAAGTTTGACCAGGCTAACAACTCATCGTCATGCCAACCAGTTTAGTTTGACCAGGCTAACAACTCATCGTCATGCCAACCAGTTTAGTTTGACCAGGCTAACAACTCATCGTCATGCCAACCAGTTTAGTTTGACCAGGCTAACCACTCATCGTCATGCCAACCAGTTTAGTTTGACCAGGCTAACCAGTTTAGTTTGACCAGGCTAACCACTCATCGTCATGCCAACCAGTTTAGTTTGACCAGGCTAACAACTCATCGTCATGCCAAACAGTTTAGTTTGACCAGGATAACAACTCATCGTCATGCTAACCAGTTTAGTTTGACCAGGCTAACAACTCATCGTCATGCCAAACAGTTTAGTTTGACCAGGCTAACAACTCATCGTCATGCCAACCAGTTTAGTTTGACCAGGCTAACAACTCATCGTCATGCCAACCAGGTTAGTTTGACCAGGCTAGCCAGGTTAGTTTGACCAGGCTAACCAGGTTAGTTTGACCAGGCTAACCAGTTTAGTTTGACCAGGCTAACCAGGTTAGTTTGACCAGGCTAACCAGGTTAGTTTGACCAGGCTAGCCAGGTTAGTTTGACCAGGCTAACCAGGTTAGTTTGACCAGGCTAACCAGGTTAGTTTGACCAGGCTAACCAGGTTAGTTTGACCAGGCTAACCAGTTTAGTTTGACCAGGCTAACCACTGAAAACTGAAAAAGGAAATCTCCATTGTTCACTTAGAACTGGATATATGGTTTTATTCTGAGATCTGCATTTACACGCATATTATGAAGCAAATTAGGAAACAAATATAGAAATACCATAAGCTCCAATCTCTCTACACAAAGTAGACATGAGACCTAGCACTAGTCTTCACAGTATCGTTACAGAATCACAGGAAGTGGGAAAAGGGGGGCAGCATGTTTTCAAACCAGACTGATAGTTGAGCAGATCCATTTACAGTTCAGGGGTCAACCTTTAGTTGAGGCCTAAAATTCAACTCTGGACCTCCAAGTTCCACTCTATTTTGTCATTGTTCCCCTCTAATCTGATTTAGACCCGGGACACCAGGTGATGCAATTAATTATCAGGTAGAACAGAAAACCAGCCGGCTACAGGCCTCGTAGGGTCAGAGTTGAGTACCCCTGGTCCAGAACATGCATCCATGCGCTTTGAGGATTGTAGGTACATGAACGTAGCCTTGATCCTAACGAAACTGTTCCGCTTTACGTGTTCAAAGATACTGAATTGTTTCGTTTAACATGTACTAAGACTTCAAAGAAGAGGTTTTCCCTCTCTGAAGTGGTCTTCTCTTGTCTTATTCCTGTTGATGAAACCATAGCCTTTCTTAGACATTGAACCACTTCACTGTACCCAAGACAAACCCTTTGTTAGAGTGAAGTGAAAGGGAACGTTACAGCTGTAAATCCTGCTTTAAAATAAACACTAAGCTGTGCGTGAATGTTTCTCTTTAATATGATCATGGACCGCTTGGACGAAGGGTTGAGGCACCCTCCTGTGTGTCTTAAATGGTGCACTATAAAGGGAACACTACAGTCCTCATCAAGGGTCCTCAGGAGTGAGGAGGGTTCGACCACAGTAGCCTGAGTGCTGTTCTGTCTTTGGTCGGCTAGGTGGTTACCAGGTTGGTAGGCTAGGTGGTTACCAGGTTGGTAGGCTAGGTGGTTACCAGGTTGGTAGGCTAGGTGGTTACCAGGTTGGTAGGCTAGGTGGTTACCAGGTTGGTCGGCTAGGTGGTTACCAGGTTGGTCGGCTAGGTGGTTACCAGGTTGGTAGGCTAGGTGGTTACCAGGTTGGTAGGCTAGGTGGTTACCAGGTTGGTAGGCTAGGTGGTTACCAGGTTGGTAGGCTAGGTGGTTACCAGGTTGGTCGGCTAGGTGGTTACCAGGTTGGTAGGCTAGGTGGTTACCAGGTTGGTAGGCTAGGTGGTTACCAGGTTGGTAGGCTAGGTGGTTACCAGGTTGGTCGGCTAGGTGGTTACCAGGTTGGTAGGCTAGGTGGTTACCAGGTTGGTAGGCTAGGTGGTTACCAGGTTGGTAGGCTAGGTGGTTACCAGGTTGGTGTGTCCACTAGCGTCTCTTCACTAGGATGGTTAGCATCTGCAGCGACACCAACCACAACACTAGCGTCTCCTCTAGGATGGTTAGCATCTGCAGCGACACCAACCACAACACTAGCGTCTCCACTAGGATGGTTAGCATCTGCAGCGACACCAACCACAACACTAGCGTCTCCACTAGGATGGTTAGCATCTGCAGCGACACCAACCACAACACTAGCGTCTCCTCTAGGATGGTTAGCATCTGCAGCGACACCAACCACAACACTAGCGTCTCCTCTAGGATGGTTAGCATCTGCAGCGACACCAACCACAACACTAGCGTCTCCTCTAGGATGGTTAGCATCTGCAGCGACACCAACCACAACACTAGCGTCTCTTCACTAGGATGGTTAGCATCTGCAGCGACACCAACCACAACACTAGCGTCTCCACTAGGATGGTTAGCATCTGCAGCGACACCAACCACAACACTTACAGACATTATGCTTTTTTCTACATTTCTTAGGCTTCATCCCAAATGGTACCCTATTCCCTATATAGTGCACTACTTTAGACCAGAGAATGGCACCCTATTCCCTCTATAGTGCACTACTTTAGACCAGAGAATGGCACCCTATTCCCTATATAGTGCACTACTTTAGACCAGAGAATGACACCCTATTCCCTATATAGTGCACTACTTTAGACCAGAGAATGGCACCCTATTCCCTATATAGTGCACTACTTTAGACCAGAGCACCCTATTCCCTATATAGTGCACTACTTTAGACCAGAGCACCCTATTCCCTATATAGTGCACTACTTTAGACCAGAGAATGGCACCCTATTCCCTATATAGTGCACTACTTTAGACCAGAGAATGGCACCCTATTCCCTATATAGTGCACTACTTTAGACCAGAGAATGACACCCTATTCCCTATATAGTGCACTACTTTAGACCAGAGCACCCTATTCCCTATATAGTGCACTACTTTAGACCAGAGCACCCTATTCCCTATATAGTGCACTACTTTAGACCAGAGCACCCTATTCCCTATATAGGGCACTATGTTTTAACCAGGTCCCAAAGTAGTGCACTTCACAGGGAACCATTTGGGACACGCATTTATCTTTTGAAGACACCGGATGAGGTGCAAACAGAAGCAAGCATTTTTTTCAAAAGGCACCATGAGTCAACATAGGTACAAAAAAAATCAGCATTTGTATCGTTTCAATGGAGAGGTGTTTGAAACAACCTGAATACATGAATCACCGTTAGCCTTTCTCCCAGAGCGGTTTGTGCCGTCTTGCCCACTCCAATTGGTGACAATGACATACGAGTTGAAAAGACAGCACGGATCATGAACTCAGGCTTAATCACCCTAGCCTTTTAATTGAACGTGATTCTACTTTTATAACAGAATGAAGAGTCCACCTCCTATTGTTCCCTTCCACCAAACATGACCCGTTTTCATCCTGTAATATGTACTCATTTTGGAAGTCCAATACTGACAGTTCAAATCTGTGTTGTTTAAGAGGACAATAAAAAGGGTTCAGTTGGTCGACGACGACTCCTCTCTGCCCACCTCAGACCTCCCCTAAAACAGGCCTCAACATGGAAAATAAAATACTAAACTATAGAACAAAAAGAAGAATCAACATCTTCACAAAAGTAATAATCATTTTTTATAGAATCGTCATGGAAAAAAGAAAAAAGAATTATCGACTGGTCCCTCTTAGGTCAGTTTGATATTTTCATTGACAGGTTTATATTATAACAGAAGCTTGACAGGTTTATATTATAACTGAAGCTTGACAGG